TCTCTCTCTCTCTCTCTCTCTCTCTCTCTCTCTCTCTCTCTCTCTCTCTGTCTTGCTCTCTCTCACTCTGGCTCTCGCTCTTGCCTTCTCACTGAACATCATCCCCAACTCTGACTTTTTATGTCTTTTAATTTATTTATTTGGTACAGGGTCTCACTACACAGCTCAGACTCATAGTGATCCTCCTTTCTCAGCCTCCCCAGCTCTGAGTTCACAGGTGTGTGCCACCACACCAGTTTTGGCGGCTGGCACAACGTGCCTGGGGTTCTAGGGCTGGCATGCATGCAGTACTGGGGAACAAACCTGGGTCCTTGCACTTGCCAGACAGATGCTTAGATTGCTGAGACATCTCCCAAGCCCAGTGACCTTTTATTTCAAGACAGGATCTTGCTAAGTAACTAAATTGCCCAGGCTAGACTCAAATATATATCCTCCTGCCTCAGTCTCAAGTACTAGGATTTCAGGCCTGCACCATGATGCCTGGCAAGCGATTTAAATTGAATACTGGCTGTCTCAGGACACTGACAATCCACACTGGCAGGACAGTTCTGCATCCAGCAGTGTCGCTGAGTGTAGGCTAGCCACAGCCCCTGGCTACAGACAGGCCAGGCCCATCTCCACATCCTCACTGGGGTTGCTCTGGGCCTACCTGTGTTCCCCAAGGGACAAGCCCTCCTTGACTTCCCAGATGCATCTAGGCTGCTCCAGCCTTTCCTGGGACCATTGTGGCCTGATCACCACCCTCTCTGGACCAGCTGCCCACCCTGTGCCTGTGTCCTGCCTGTGGAACCTCTGTGCTCTTGGTCTAGGTGGCTTCGTGCAGGGCTCTGGTGTGGTCTGTCTTTGTCTGCTCTCTGTCACCTTGACCCCAAGGTGCAGAGAGGTGGATATACACCCCCAGTGTCCACCTCCTCCTTTGCCCAAATTGCCCTGCTGTCTCCTGGAACATGATGCTCAAGACTCACAGCCAAGCACCAGGACCTGCCATGCCCTGCAAAGAGGGACACATCACAATCCACTCCAGACAAGAATTTGGGGTGTTTATCTGGGGCTAGGTTCACCTGGAGGTCTAACAGTATCACCTGGGGGCCTTGGGGCCATATGAATCAGCTGAACTCTGGAGAGCCACAGTCAGCCACACAGCCAACCAGCCATGTCCACATAACCAGCACCTGACAGAATGCCCAACTTTGAGTTCTGGGTGACAAACTTTATGGCTGTTGTCACTCCCTGCTTCAGGGAGAATCAGGTGCTGTTCACAGCTCCCTGGTGAGAAGATACCAAGAAACTCACATCGGACCCTTCTGCACATTCACCTTTGTTAGCTTTGATTCCCTATCCTCTGCTGGGACAATCTGTAACTGACTCTGGTGGTGTCCTGAGGTCTGCAAGTCACATGAGCCACAGAGTGGGGTTTATTTGCTCTGAAAGCCCCTGAGTACTCTGCAAGCATTTGTCCAGCTCTTGGGACATTGCTCTGGCATGTGGCTTCCCCCTCAAGCCGGGCCCACACTGCCCCTAGAAGCAGAGACTGCAGGGGCCACCTGGATCTCAGAGACACCATCTGTCTTGCAGCCACTCCTTCCTGTGGTGTTGCTGTATCCAATCATTGCTGTCCTTACAGAAGTGGGAACATAGGGAAGCTTCAGTGTTCTCAGGAGCTGCCCCAACAGTGTTTTGAGCTGTGCTGATCAAATCCCACCAATGGGGGCAGTAGCTGTCACCTTTCCTCCTCAGGTGGGGAGGGCTGGGCTGTGTCACTGCAAGCCCAGACTTCCCAGAAGGCTTGTCCCTGACCACAGTTGGAAGAATAGGCTGCTGGCAGGCACAGCTGAGGAGGGGGCTGCACACAGGCTCCAGGCATTTGGCGCTTTCCTTTGTGAAACACCCCTGGCTCAGTACTTCTTGAAGCAGGAAACTGCTGTGTGCTTCACACCCTGAGAGAATGTCACATTCAGACGTGTGTGGGTATAAAATGAGGATTTCCCCAAATGAGCAAAACCTCAGATCTGCAGTTTCCAGAGACTTGCAGCATTCTAGCCAAAAATGTGAAATCTCACCCACACTAAGAGTCATGCTGCCATCAAGGACCTGCAGGGACAGGAGGTCCCTTTTTACATCTGTAGGACATCCTGTTGCCTAACAGAGGCAGTAGACTTCTCCACTCCTATGCTCCCACCCAAAACCCATGTGTGGCCAATCGCCCACACATCGGTGTGCAGAAGCAGAAGTTAGGTGGGCAGTGGCTATGCTGGAGTTTGTCATCCTTCCAAAGAAGTGATCAGCTGCCACCCCCAGGCCTCAGGACATGGCTCTACTGACCTCATAGGTTTTTACCATCCTCTTGGTCACCGCAAAGATGGGCTGGATGTTGTTTTCTGTCAGTTTGTGCACCAGCTGGCCCACTGATGGGTAGTCCTACAAAGAGGGGACACTGGCTTAGCTGGCCCCAGATCTGAGGGCCACCTGCTGGCATCAAACACCAAGGGCCAGAAGTACAGACTGTGACTCAGGCCCAGCTGGGCTTATGCCAGTGCCTGACAGGATCATATGGGAAGCCAAGCATGTGGAAATACAGCTGAGAAAATACTGAGCTGGGTGTGGTAATGCACCCCTACAATCTCAGAACACTGGGGGCCTGAGGCAGGTAGATGGCAAGTTCAAGCCCAGTATGGGCCACTTAGTGACTTAGTGAGATCCTGCCTCAAAAATAATAAAATGGCTGATATAGCTCAGTGTGAAGTCCCTGTGTTCAATCTTCAGTACTGAAAAGAAAGAGGTTGTGATGTATGTCTTAACATGATAAACATTATATGTAACTGCTCCCAATTTTTGAAGCTGTTTGGAATGTGGGCAGCATTTTGAGGTGTCTATGCTGCAGGAACTCCTGTGGTTGAGCCTGTGTGTGTCACCAGATGATCCTTAGTTCCGGGCAGAGGCTTGTGGATGGATGCTGTCCTTCCTGTCCCTGTTCAGGATTCCCAGAATTTGTGGGCTCCAGGTGGAGACCCCTGAGCTTCCCATCCCTAAGTCCTTTGTAGTACCTGTGGGGAGCTATCCAGAGATGGGGCCATCCCAGGAGTCTCCTGGGGGGGCTGACACCACCTTGGGAGGAAAGGTACTGCTTATGGCTGGGGGCAGCATGTGTTGGGTGCTGCCACACCAGTCACATCCTCCAAGCTAGAGTGGGCATCCCAGGGCCTCAATGTCCCCAGGGCTTGTTTTAGAATAGCTTCCTGCTCCTCAGGGTGGCCTGTACACACTATGTGCTGGCTGCTGTCCTGGGTTGCTGAAGGCCTGGAGGGACTCCTCCCCAGGTCTCCCCACCCTCCTGTAGGCAGCCAGGGAGGAAGGGTGAGGTGCTTACAAATTCATTGCTCTTCTTGTACATGCTGTCCTCCAGGTGGCAGCGCCCATCATTTGGGGTTAGGATGGCACCTAGCTTCCCATCACCTGCAAAGTGGAAGCCATCATCTGTGGCAAACACCAATAGCCGTGTGACGTTACGCCAGCCGATTTCCTCCTGGGGAGAAGGTGGTGGAATTGTCTGCCTCAGTTTCCCAGCTGAGCTCCCAGAGCTGGTAGGCAGTCTGGGGTCAGCACTGTTGCCCCAAGGTGTTCACAGCAGTGAGGACTGAGAGCGGGTAGCACCAGCCAGCACCCAAGAGAAGACCCTCATATGTGAGTGTATGGGTCCCCATACACCCTGGGGATGGGCTATAAAGCACAGCTGAATTTAGAAGAGGCCATTGTTCTTGGGAACATGTCTCAAGAAAAACAATCCCAAAGAAAACCATGGGCAGAAGTGTCCAGTGCAATGAGAAGCTTCCTAAGTACAGAAGAAGGAAATGAGGTCATAGTGGGAAGCTACAGCAGCCCTGGAAGGTCCCTGGAGGAAGCCATGCCTGATCGTATGTGTCATGAACCATGATCTGACACACAAATGCTTGACTCTGTGGTACGACCACAAATGCTCAGGCCTGGGGATGCTGGAGAGCTAGAGGCTGGCTGAGCAGCATGGTCTAGACTGAACGCCAGGCCCAGGATGTGGGTGGAGGAGGCACCGCGGTGGGCACCTTCACTGGAGCAGCCATCACCCTCCTGCATGGAAGGGAAGGGACACAGTGTGCTTCAGGAAGGGCTGGCCCGGGCTGCTCAGCAGCCTTCTGTGCACAGGACCTGTGCATGTTGATGCTGCCGGGAGCACAAGTAGCAGTGACATTTGTGGTGACTTGGGCACGCTGTTGCTGCTCACCTGCCTGGATGGCTGGGATGATGGGGCTGGGGGCCACTCTTCCCAGTCCAGGCCAGCAGGGGCTGGCCAGGCAGGGTGGGTGCCTTAGATATCCACAGACAGTGTACCCAGTTGCCAGTGCATGGGAGCCCCCATCTGGGGACAGTGGGGTCAGGCAGGGGCAGTAGACTCACCGGGCACACAGCGACCTGCATCATAGCATCCAGCCCGCCCTCCGGGGCATCCAGGTTCCCAGAAATCAACTGCTTTCCAACTTCAGTGCGAAACTGGTTGGAGTTGTCTGTGAGCTTGAGCACATGCCGGAAGGCAAAGGGTGGCTGGCACTCTTTTTCCTTGTTAGGGCAGGGGTTCCGCAGTTTCTCAGGGTGCGTGTTCACAAAGGGTAGCACCGTCTTGTCCACAAAGGATCCAAAGCCTGGGGACAGAGTGATCCAGGCTGTAGGCTCTGGGGGGACCTGGCCTCGGGTTCCCTGTCTTGTGGCCAGGTAGCAGGCCTGTGGGGGGAGCATGAGGTATACAAGCACATGTGTGGCTACACGTGTGTGTGTGTGATATGTACATATGTTTATGTGTGCTCTAGTACCTGCAAGCCTGACTGTGTGCAGGTACATGTATGTACAGGTATGCATATGTGTAACTGTGATCACAAAGTCTCCTAGCATATATTATGTGATATGTGTATATGATCATGTTCATGTATGAGCATGTAGCTATGAGCATGACTGTGTGTATGTGTGATGATTGGTGGGTGTGAACATGACTATATGTGGCACAAATGAGAGCACATGTGCATGTGTTGGGGAGTGCATGCTTGTGTTCCTCCACACAGAGAGGCTGGCAGAGCCCTCTGGGCAGTACGTGCTGGGATGAGGCACCCTCACCCTCACACTGCTGGGTCCATGGGCTTTGGTGACCATTTCAGTGCTGCCCTGGTCCTGGTGCTGCCCGTGGGGCTTCCACCCTGCTCCTGGGGACCTGTGCATGGGTGCAGGAGTAGCTGGAGAGGGCCTTACCAATGCGGCCAGACTCAGTGATCTCATTGAGAGCCCGCAACAGGTCACCACCCAGCTTCTTGACATTGATGAGGTCATCCAGCATGGAGTAGGACAGGTCCATGAGGTAGTATAGGTCGACGGGGTAGCCCTTGGCCCGCTGGAAGGTCACATTGAACTTAGCCGCCTGGCCTATAGTGGGGCAACAGGGAGTAGGAGGCACCTTGCATGAGGCTCTTGCCTTCTTTCCATCCCCTCAACTCCAGCCTGGTCCTCCTTTCATATCAGTCTGGACTGGGCTATGGGTTGGACACAGGAGTCTGAATCCAGGTAAAGACCAACATGCCCAAGTATAAAAGTGTCCACTTGCTGGGCTAAAAGTCTGCATCCACCCAACCCCACATGCTGGGACCCTCAGCTCTTCCCATGGCAGAACCCAGTAGGCCTTTGAGGGAGGAGCCCCGTCCAAGGTGGTAGAGCCCTCCTAATTGAGGCCCCGTGCACACCTGTCATTCCAGCACTCTGAGAGGTTGAAGGAGGAGGATTGAAAGTTCAAGCCCAGCCCACCTTGAATAATAAGTTATCCAGATCTTATCTCAAAATAAAAAAAGAACTAGGGACACAGCTCATTGCAAAGGTTCTGGGTTCAATTTCCAGTACCTTTAAAAACAAAAAAAGTGATTTCCAAATGGGTTGTTGTCTTTTCTAAAAAAGACAGAACCTTGGGCTGGCCAGATAGCTCAGCAGACTAAAGCATCTGCTTAGGCAGGTGCAGGGACCTGCGTTTGATCCACTGCATGCCATGCTGGCTCTGCTCCCAGGGCACACTGAGATAGCGACTAAGACTGGGCGTGGTGGCACAACCTGTAATCCCAGTGCTTAGGAGGCTGAAAACAGGAGGATCGCTCCAACTCTGATCTGTGTAGTGAGACCCTGTAGACTGTGTACTAAATACACAAAAACAAACAAACAAACAGAACCAAGGGCTGAGTGAGACCAGACATCAAGCTAGAGACAGCAGGTCTTGGAAGGACAAGCAGGGCTCCCAGCAACCTGGGCCACATGTGTTCCTTGATGTGCAGCCTATAGACTGGACCTGGAGTGGAGCTGAGCTTCTCACTGTAGAGGGCACCTGGCAGCTCTCAGCTGCCACCAAGCTTACCTGGTCTCAAGAACAACTTGACCTTTTGTGGGAACAGCTGCTTCTGGCCACCCCTTTGGTCCTCTTGGGGTTTAGCAAGGCTGCTGGGATTCATGATGTCGTCAGGTGCACAGCCCTTCTTCACCAGCTGCTCCCGGGTGTCACAGCGAGCAGAGTCGGGCTCTCCCAGCCCTGTGAAGTTCTGAGGGAGAGAAGTGGGGCTCAGGAGGAGGTGATGGGAGTATAGGCCTCCTGCTCCTGGGACCTGAGGACTTGGACTCTGCAGAGGGGCCCCCTTGATGGAAACCCTTGCTATAAATGAAGGGGTGATGGTTCCACATGCTGGCTACACAGGCAGCCTCTGCTGGGGCTCCAGGTCACCTTGAGCCTTGAGTCTCTGCAGCAAGGCACTTCCCATCCTCAGCAGGGAGCTGCCTGATGTCACCCAGAGCTGCTTCACAGCCTCAAGCCTTTGGTCAATGGGCCTCAGTCCCAGGGAATTGCTTTCCCAAAGGGAAACTGCATGTTCGGTGGGCATAGTGAGAGCCCCAAGGCATCCCGGGACATAGACCAGAGCTAAGGGCCAAGCCCTGTGCAGCTGTCTTAGGGCCTTCTCTAGCCTCTGGGGCTGGCTTAGGGCAACTGCTTTTGTCCTCATATGCCCCAGACAATGCTGGGGTCTCAAGCCACCGTGCCCAAAGAGAATAGAGATGTTTACTCCTGAGGCTAGGGAAGCAGGAGGGCACTCAGGGGAACCTGGGGTCCACGACACTTCTGCACCCTACCCTTACCGGTTTCTGGCACCAGGCGCAGCCAGGTCCTGACTGGACACAGTCTCGGCAGGTGCTGACCTTATACTTCGTGCATTCCTGAGAAAGGGCTGGAGACACAGCCAGCAGGTATGACTCAGGGACATGGGGGGCGATAAGCACAGGAGGAGGAAGAGACCCAGGGACAGGGAGAAGGCCAGGCTTGGAGCACAGGGTGCAGCTCCAGGGATTCTGCCACAGCCCTGCTACATGGGGGCCAAGGCCAGCATTAGTGACTGCTCCTAGCATCCTGGGAATGGGCATTCTAGAGGGCACAGGGCTAGCCTGTATGGTGGAGACCCGTCCCACACTTACCAGACCCAAGGCAGAGCAGCCCCAGGAGGGCGAACAGCAGGCACCGGTCCTGCATGTCCTGGGGAGAGAGGGTGGTAGCCTGGAGCCCATCCTGGGTGAGGGCTCCTCTTCCTCCCACCAAAGGGATGGGGGCCTGGGTGGGGCCAGCATAATGACACCCCAAGTCCCCATGCAGTCTCTACAGGTCCCACTGTAGACGAGCTGGGATGAGGGATTGAACAGCTGCTTCAGTGGCCAGGAATGATGGGCATCAGGCATCTGTGGGACACACACACCATGGACACACTCACACACTCACACATGCACTCACATGTGCACGCACACAGAGGTGGGTCCCAACCTGCTGAGGCCCAAGAGCTCAGTGAACAACCCCAGTGTGCGCTGATCCCCAGCTGGTCTAGGTCCCTGTGCAGGTGGCAGACCCAAGACGAGCACGGAAGCAACCTTGAGCTCTGGGTGGTACAAGAGCAGCCTGTGCTTCTTTTCTTCACCTCAGCCTCTGCCCTGTGACTCTCTGGCCTCTGGGCTCTCCAGCCCATTCCAAGAAACGTAAGTGGCAGCCCTCCCAGTGTCCTTGTCTCAGGAAGGGTGGAAGGGCTGTGTGGAGTTCTCTGGTGCAGCCTGGTCCACCCCCAGATGGGCACCACTTCCATATTCTCTAGTTCTGTCCTACCTGCCCAGAGAAATCCACGGTCCCCCTGCCACCAGGGGAGGAATAACTGAGGCCTAGCAGGGCTGGCAAGGATTGCGCCCTGAGCCAACTATGGCCTGCCACCCTCTTCCAGAAGTGTCCAGGGCATCCCAGGCCTTGCCTCCTGGCTCGATTTCCCAGAGGCGAGAGCTCTATGGTGACAGACCTGTCAGTGAGCAGTAGAGAGGCCAGGGTGGCAGGAAGTGCCTACAACACAGAGACTGGCACCCTCTGCAGAAGTGCAAGCTCCTCCCTTGACCTCAGGGGCCCAGAGCCCAGGGCTCAGACATAGCCCACCCCCAGCCACTGCGCAGAGCACATGGGTCACTGCCTCTCGTGACAGTGCTTGCTATTGTGGCCTACGCCTGAGCTGCCGTAGCTCACAACCAGCACCCTCAGGATTAGGGCTTGTCCCTAGTAAAGGTGCCAGGCCCCCACCCTGGAGGATAACAATTAGCATTCAAGATGCCAACCCACTCCTGGTCCTTCCCTTTCAGTGGAAAGCAGAACTCGCCCCTTCTGGCTTCCTGGATGCACTAGCTGGAGGAGCAGCTCCAGTTCCCGAGATTTCTCTTTCCCCATCCCCAGGGTGTGGGACTCAAGCCAAAGCAGCTGTGGCCAGTCCCCTTTCCCTCTGTACCCCAGAGTTCCTCATAGCACTTTCTGGGGACCCTAGTGTGTCCACACTCCTGCCACTGCTCTGAGCCCTGGCACGGGTCCTGGGACCCACAGGCTGCACTGTGAAGTCCACCTTCCCCCTCCTGAAGCCAAGGCCACTCTGGGTAGAGTGGGGAGCAGCCCCAGGACCATTTAGCCATGGCTCTGGATGGGGACTTATAGCCACAGCCTGGAATTCCCTGCACCCACAGCACTCATGACAACTGGCATGGAACCCATTCAGGTTCCTGAATGGGGAAACTGAGTCTTAATCAGCAGCAGGAGGTACAGTTGAGTGGCCCATCACACTTATGCACCCCAGGGCAAGGAGCAAGGCTTGGTTAGAGCAAGGCTGACCATAGGCCACAGGAAGCTGACCCAGGAGTCAGGCCACACCCCAGCCACTTGTGCTCCGAGATGGATAAAGGCCAAGCTCCAGGACTGAAGTAACGCCAAGGCCTGGCAGCCAGCACACACCCCCACCCCCACATGCGGAAGCGGAGGGGAAGAGCGAGGTTTCCAACCACTCTGCCTCAGTTTCCTTCATGTGACTGGAGCTGACCACGGGGCCATCCTTGGAGGGTAGGCTTAGTTGATTGTGTCTGGAGCAACAGCTGGTGTCTGGCATGTATAGGGTCTACTCAGTGGGCTGTGATGGACATAAACAAGGAGGCATCTGGCCACTCGCAGTGTCCCCAGCACCTAGAGGACAGGTGTGAGTGCCTGTCTCCTCCAGCCCCCAGGCTTTGACCCCAGGCCCCATACCAGGACACAAGGCAAAGCTGGACCGATCAGAGGCCACCTTGAAGCCAGAGCCCCTGGCAGAGCTACCTTGACCTTGGCTTCTGATAGGGAAGTGCTGTTGAAATTCTAGGAGTAGGCTGGGGAGATAGCTCAGTGGAATAAGTGCTTGCCCAGCAAGCACAAAGTCCTGAGTTTGATCCCTGGTACCACACACACACACACACACACACACACACACACACACACACACAAAAGTGAAACCCTAGGAGCTCAGGAAGTGGCCAGTGTCACCAAAGACCTCATCCTCTCCTCAACACCAAGAGAAGAATGAAGCTGGAAAAGCCAGTTCTGAGACAGGAGAGGGGTAAGAAAAGCAGCATGGTCTCCTATATCTGGCTTTTCTCACTGGTCTCTATCTCTACTGGGACCTCCACTGTCACTGAGCTTCTGTCACTCTCCTCCAAATGCCAGCATATGGCCTCACCGGGTACTGTGTGGCTACCAAGGAGCAGGGCTGATGCTCTGTAGGCCCTGGCCCACTGTGTGGATGCCCAGGCCCAGAGGCCAGCTCAGGATGTCATGCCAGGATCTTCTATGACCAGTGCAGTAGTAGGGACAGCAGGTGGGGCCCACAGAACCCTGGCCTAGCTATGCCACATCCTCTCAACACACAGCTCCCTGTCTCCTGCCGGACACCTGGCTCTGTGTGGTGTGGAATGGAACCCCATCAGTCTGACTCCAGCTGCCAGGGGACTATGGACAGGTCACTTCAACTCTGGTCTCTGTTTCCTCCACTGTGACAGAGTGTGGGGTCCCTGGAGGGCAAATCTGACATCATGGCAGGGCCATAGGACCTTGATATTTGCTTACCCACAGGTGTAAGGACTCCAGAAGGGGTCAAAAGAAATTTAGAGATGATTAGTATTTGAATCTGACCACTGAGAAAACCAGACTGCCCTCCAGCTGAGGAGGCCTCATCCCTTCACTGCAGGCCTCTGACCACTCCTACCTAAGACAGTGCAGCCCCAGGAAGGACCAGATGGCAGGGCTGTGGCTTCCTGCTCTGTGGTTATGGGTTAGAGAGGCAGTCAGAGCTCTGTGCCTCCTCTTCCCCTTGGCAGCACAAAGACCAGCAGATGGTGACGTCTGGGGCTCCACAGGTGTCCACTCAGGTCTGCATGATACTGGACAGAGGCCATCAAAGCCTGGATCCCTGGCTACAGCCTCTTGGCCCTACCCCTGGGGGTGTCTGGACATCTGTGCTCTGGAAGGAGTGGCTCAAGGAGGCCTGGCCGGCATATCACACACAGCAAGTGGGGTGGGGGTGCTTCTCTGCAAGGGAACCTGCTGGACACTGGGGCTGCCAAGGACTCTGGCCAGGCTACCAGCCATCCCTGCCCTGGAGAAGGTTACCCTGCCAATGCAGAGGCGGCAGAGATACCTTGCCCCACACCAGCCATCCACAGCCAGGACTGGTGCCAGCCCTATCAGTGATGCACACTCTGAGGGGGTCACATGGAGAGCTGGGTGGGGCCCAGTATGCAGAAGAGGTAGCTTCTTTGTGGGGCCAAACAGGAGCACTGAGCAGAGGTGTTGCTGCCCCTGTGCTGCCCTCTACAGGGCCAGCCACGTGCAGGGCACACTGCTGTAGAAGCATGGCTTTCTCCCACAGTTCTGGGGCTGCCCACTCCAACAGTCAAGTGCTCTTCCCCTGCTGGTCACCTGAAGAACATACTGGGGCCTGAGTGGTCAGAGCTGACCCAGCAGGGGCCCCAGGTGTCCCTACAATGCCATCCCCAGGGAAGCGAGTTTTGAGTTTCTTTGAACCAGAGAAACTGAATCCCAGCCCTTTCCAAAAGCAAGCTGACCCCTCACCCACCCACCCACCCATGGGAGGCAGCCCCTAGGCCATCCTGCAGAGGGCCCTGGATTTGGTTTCTGATCCAAGAAACTCCTGAGACAACTGCAGTCTGTCTCCTACACACCTTCTGCACCGACACTACCATGCTTTAGTGCTGGTGGCTGGAGACAGGAAGTCTGGCTCTCTCCAGCCCTGCCCCTGCCTCTGACTCCTGGTCTTTGTCCCAGGCACCTCTGCCATCCACTCACCTGCTCACTTGAGACCTGACCTCAAAGGACCCTGGCCCCTGCCTGCCAGGGCCCTGCAACCAGATGGCCACAGGTAGCCCAGGACAGATCCACCCTATGCCCGAGTCATGTGTTCTGCAGGGGCAGCATGCTCCAGGCAGCAGAGTGCCAGGCAGCACACATCCCGATGCAGCCAAGCACAGGGGTGCTGGCTGGGTCCTTTCTGAAAATGTGAGTCCTTAAGTCACCCATTGTCAGCAGCCAGGTGGAGACTAGCACCCTCTGTTCTACTTCCTGTCCACTCCCGAATCTCAAGGGGCCTCCAGCACACAGTCCTGTGATGCCTCCCCAGGGAGCTAGGTGACAGTATGCTTCCTTGGCCTATAGCTTGCCAGGCCCCTGCCTTCCTGAGTGCTATCATCCCTATCACAGCTGCCCCTCCTCCCCCTGGCTCCAGGAACCTCAAGGAGGGGCCCTTGTGTCCTCTATATACCTGTCCCTATCCCTGAGTCTCAGGAGGGGGGCCTGACCCAGACAGTCCCCAGTTGGGGACTAAGGATATGGACAGGACCCCCAGGCTGATCCCAGGGCAAGGGTTTCCCAGTGAAACACAGCTTCCTGGGTAGCAGAAAGCCCACCCTGAAGTGTCCCCTCAGAGGCCACCAAGGACACAGGGCCCTCACTCACCACTTGGTCCCCAGAGGCCTCGGCAGTGTCGGGTAGGGTTTTGCCTGCTCCTTGCCAGCTACTCAGTGGTTGCGTCTTGGGGAGCAGTGGGGCCCGGCAGGGAGGCTGGGCTTCCTGTTCTCAGCTCCTTGAGGAAGTAGTGACATTGGTGACATCGGCTGGTTCCACCACACAGGCCCCCACCTTGCACTGTGCTCCACACTTGCGCCTGATGCGGATGTCAGAGAAGGGCCACTGAGCATGGCGACCAAGCACTGAGGGTGCATCATCGCTGCAAGGCAGAGCAGCAGGAGTGAGGGCAGCTAGGGGGACAGCGGCTCAGGGCCTAGGGGGTGGGGACCCTAGGCACAGTGGGCAGGGACTGGGGCCGCTGGATTCAGAGTCCAGAGAGGGGCTCAGTGTGCCCAGGAGCCCAGGTGGGGATTGTGTTGCAGGGAGCTCGCTGATCGAGGACAGCAAAGGCCACTGTGAGCAAGAGGAGGGCGCAAGCAGATCCTGGACAGAACTGAGGCCCCGGCTTAGGAGGGGACACAGGAGGACCAGGGACACAGGTGAGGTGTGACAGTACCATCTGTCCCCAGAGTTTCAGGGACAGGACAGCAGGAATGTAGAAGAGAGGCCCAGATACTGAGGAAAAGAGAGAGGAGATGTAGAATCTGGGGACAGGGCCTGCATGGCAGGGATGAGGGCCAGGGTCGCTGACCAGCTGCGCTGGGATGAGGTCAGCGAGGTGGATGAAGACGGAAGGGGGCTGATTGCACCTACAGAAAAACAAAACCCAAACATCGTAGGCATGCAAGGCCTCCACCGTCCCCTAACACTGGCCACAGCATCACTCCTGAATCAGGCACTCTTACAACATCTAGAGATGGCATGGACAGCACAGCTGAGGGAGGAAATGGGCAGCAAGAGGAAGCCTAGGATCCACTGATTTTAAAAGTGGTAGTAAAAAGCCTGAATGAGACATCATAGCCGACACAGGAGGGAGCACCCAGAGCCTGGCGCTGGCGACCACAGTTCTATGGAAAACACTGAGCATCAAGGATGGTGATGACGATGATGAGATCCTCTTTAGGGTGGAAACAGGATGCGTCCATCTGAGAAAAGGAAAGTACAGAAAAGGCAAGGGAAAAAAGAACGAACAAGAAATGTAACTAGAAAACACAAGAAGGCATTGGGGAAGATTTCAAGTTTCCCAGGAATCAGCACACGACAGGGGTTGTGGGGTTCTTCAAGCCAGCTGACTGCTGTCCTGTTTGGGTTTTTACTTTTTAGAGGCCCAGCTTCACTGTGTACACCCGGGTGGCCTTAAACTCACAGTAGTCTTGCCTCAGCCTCCTGAGTGCTGGGATGCAGGTGTGTACTCCCATTCCCAGTCTTGCTCTTTTTTTTTTTTTTTTTAAATCAACATAACAAATTCCAATGAAATGTTCTCTGTCAAATGCAAAGTATATTCTAGACAATTCTAACAGGAAGGACAGATGAAGTCATTGGGCACACCCACGGGTGAGTGAGGATGAGGCAGTGCCACAGATAGCCCAGGACACGCCAGCATCTGGCCCGGCTATGATGCAGCAGACCTGACAACAAGGTGGGCAAATCTAGACTAGTGACCGTCGCTGCCAAACCAGCTTGGCTCAGCCACCAGTTTGCAGAGAGGCAGGGCACAGTTGGCAGCTTGCATAGTGGAGAGAAGCGGGGAGGGAGCAAGGGAGCAGCATGGGGGAGGAGCCATAGGGCACAGAGATTACAGGGAAGAATGGGGCCACCCACAGTGCACGACCATATTAAGATGCTGTAGTTCATTTTTCGGGTGCTAAAATGTGTTATGGTTGTGACAAAGAGCCCTCGTGTTCCACAGTGGCAGCTGGTGTGTTCGCTGCTGACACCCTCCCCCCTGCAGGGAGTGGGCAGATAAGGGAGGCCTACACGAAGGGGCCCCTGTGTGCCTGGCACTGGGGCTTATTACACCACCCTTCCTACTTCTGTATGTGTGGGAAACTTTCTGTTGCAAAAATGTGTAAAAATACTTTCAGAGGAAGTGTAAATACTTTCAGCAGGGGCCAAGCTTTGGTTTCACAAGGTCTGCAGGGGGCCAAGGTGATGTTCTCAGCAGAAGTGTGACTGTCCTTAGTGTCCTTGAACTGGATGCTTAAGTGGCTAAAGTAAAAAATTGAAAAGAAAAAAAGCATAAAAATACAAGCTGGGTGTGGTGGCACACGCCTGTAATCCCACCCCCTGAGAGGTTAAGGCAGGAGGATTACTGCAAGTTTGAGTCTAGCTTGAACTCCATAGCGAGACCTTGTCTCAAAAAAAAGCAAATTGCATAGAAAAATCCTGAGTGAAAAATGTGCAAATGATCTGATTCTACATTTCCTAAAAGAAGCTGTATGTTGGCCAATAAGTATAGAAAGAAAGGCAAAGTGTCCCTAAGGACTAGAGAGATGCAAATCAGAAACTAGACCACAAGGTAGAGGCAGAGCTCCAGGGGCAGCCTGGGGGAGGAGGCCTGAAGGGCCACAGTTCCCCCTTCTCCTCCTCCCCCACTAACTTCCCCCTCCACCCCTCCTCCTCACCCTTCTTCTCCCCTTCCTCCTTTGCCCCTCCTCCTCTGGGAGCCAGCATGTAGCAGAGTCTGGTGTCTGAAAGGTCAAGGCGGAGGGCTGTGGAAAACGCTTTGCAAAGTCAAGAGGGCCAGGAGTTCACAGCCAGCCTGGGCCACATCGCAAGACCCTGAGTCAGAGAGATGAGGGCCAAGGAGAAGGCTGCAGGTCTGGGAGGAGGGGGGCACAGAAATGCCTCAGCCTGTGAGGTTTTGTGTATTAAAAGGGAAGAAAAGAGACTGGGATTCTGTCAGGGGTAGAGCACTTGACCAGCAAGCAGAAAAGCTGGGTTCAAATTACCCAAAAAGAAGACAAAGTCCTAAGCAAAATGTTAAGATCTAGGGGCAGGGGATAATCTTAGTGGCACAGCACCTTCCTGGAAGCCCAAGGTCATGAGTTCGATTCCTGGTACTAAGAAAGAAAGAATGGAAGGAGGGAAGGAGGGAAGGAAGGAAGGAAGGAAAGAAAGAAAGAAGGAAGGGGTTAACAGGAAGGAAAGAAAAGAAAGAGGTTAAGAGATCTGATAAAACAGGTGGTGAATGTATTGGTGTTGCTTAATGACAATTTTATTCTTCCTGTATCCTCTAAATTTTTTTTTTTTTTAAAGAGATGGTGGCACATACCTGTGATGCCTGTACTCTAAGAGGTTGAGGCAGAAATCTCTTGATTTGGAGCCCAGCCTGGGCTACAGTGATTTAGTGAGCTGGGTATGTAGTTCAGTGTGAAGGCCTTGGGTTCAATCCTCAATGCCAAAAGAAAGAAAAGAACAGAGAGGAAGGAGAGAGAGGGAGAAGGAAGGAAGGAAGGAGGGGAAGGAAGGCGCTAGGGTGCAGTGAGGGCAGATGAGCGGAGGACCTCCTTGGTATGAGAAATATCCTGACATTGGATTATGACCATAATCAAGAGTCATAAACTTGTTTTCAAACTGCCAAATTGTGCCCTGAAAGACAGTGTATATCAAATGCATGCCGTGCCCCTGTGATGCTGTGCAAAGAAGAACCAATAGAGAACACTTTTTTTAAAAAAAACACTTTAAAAAAAAAAAAGACTGCCAAAAAAAAAAAAAAGAAGAAGTAGAAAAAAAGAAGGCAAGAAAGGGAAGGTAAAAGAGAAAGAGAAAGGGAAGGAAAAAGGCAGCCTCCCTTTTGGGTGCCAGCGAGCCCCAACACTGTCACAGCTGCAGACAAGCCCTCTCAACACTACAGGTCCAGTCTTCCTGGGGGTCAGGAAGGCCTGGCCCTCTGTGTCCTTTCTCCTCTCTTGCCCCAGGGCAGACCTCTGTCCCCAACCTGCCCTCCAAGTTGGGGTGGAAGCGACTATGAGGGTCACTAGATGCTGAGATGGACCTGGCTACCAGAGGGATGCCTCAGCCCTGGGCCTGGGGTCGGGGGTGCTGGCTCCAGAGGGTGGGCCTGGGGTAGAGAGGGCCTTAGGTTGGTGCAGTTTCCACACACAGTGGCACTGCAGGTGTAGGCTAGGAGACTCCACAGTGGGCAGGCCCAGGAGGACAGTGCATGGCACTGTGTCCACCCACATTGGCCCAGGTGCGCCAGGCCTGGGTTTTGTCCCCAGCACCCAGAAATAAACAAATAAATAATCATACAACTTGAAGCAGGAGAGAGAAAAAGGGAAAACAAAATAGCGGAGCCAAGTCAGGCATAGCAGCGCACACTTGGAGTAAGCCCAGTACTCTGTCAGGCTGAGGCAGAATGATTGAACGTTTGTGGTCAGCCTGAGCAACGTGGTGAGACCCTTTATCAAAATGAAAAAATAAGAAAGGCTGTGGATAAATCTCAGTGCAGATATCCTGGCACAATTCCCAGTATAGAAGTAGAAAGAAAGGGGGCTGGTGAGATGGCTCAGTGGTCTAGAGCACCTACTTAGAACAAGCTTAGCAAAAAAGCACAGGGACCGCAGTT